CGGAGAAGAGGGCCTCCAAAGTACTGGTGGTTTAAATGAAAAAGTCCTGCTGCAGCCAAGCGACAACACAATTTGCATTCCAGTCTGTCACGGAAGCACTGTTGCAGTCTTGTGTGGTCACGCGTTGAGTGAACTTTAGGGTAGGCGATGGGGCCCGACGCCATAGCTGTAGAGCTTGAATGGGTGAGAGCCAAAAGAGAGAAAGAGAGAGAGAGAGAGAGAGAGAGAGAGAGAGAGAGAGAGTGATGAGGAAGAGAGGCCTGGGGGTAGCTAGTCTTTTGTGAAACTCCTAAGCCCCCATGTTTCCCCACCCGCTTGTTCACTTCACCAACAACGTACACGGCTTGTTATGCACCAAGAAGCACCCGCATTACGGGGAATACAAGGGACAAAGGACTAATTCCCCACACCCGCCCCCCTTCACTCGCACCTTCCCCCACCCCCATCCCCTGCATCTAGCACAACTCCAATGCCCTTCTGTAGCTCACATCACCGCTCCCTTCACAGTCTTGAATGCATAGGTCAACCCACACCTAACCCCCCATAAATAAGACCCTAAAATAGGTCTCCACCATTGGGCACAGGAAAACTGGTAAAATGGAAAAAGGGTGACAATGCTGGTAATGCCAGCGGCAATGAACCCTGATGTAGTCTTGCTGCAACCTCTAGGACTGATAGGGACATGATGACATGGCACTTCAGCGAGAGATATGACATTGTGACTGCTGCACCAAGGGCGAGGGATTCTACTGCTGTGGACTCCTGGTAACGTGGGGGAAGGGTTGGAACAGCAAATGCCTGATACCTGACGGATCTCCTGCTTGCTGCTCCCTCTATTCCTCCATCAACAATGGCTATTATCCAGCCCATGCCTCTCTATAGACACGGTGGCCCATCTTTTCTTTTTCATTCTGGAAACTTTCCATTTTCATGCTTGCTGAGGATAAGTAACCCCCCCACAATAGAAGAAGTGTGTGTTTGCTTTGAAAAAAAAGAAACTTCAACACACCCCATTATGCTCCCACCTGCCCACTCCACTCTCCACTTCTATCACAATCTGAGCTTGACAGCCTGGTAGACAGGTACTGTACCCCTAGAAACGTCTGATTTCCAGAAACGTGTCACATATGTTCTCCAAAATCCAAAACATGTTACTGAATTTCTAATAACGCAATTCCAAAATCCAAAACAGCGTGGAGATCAAAAGACTACACAGGATACTTGTAAGCGCAATTCCTCACGTACGGCGCACGAGCGCAACGGATTCCATGCGGCACACGGGGGAAATAGGCACCCAGAAGAAAAAGGAGTCGCAGGCCTGGTTAAGCGGGCACCTGCACCACCTTCAAAACCTCATGGAAAGAAAAACAGAAAAACAGGAAAAAAAAAGAAAAAAAGAAAAAATAGGGGGAGCAATGTCACCACTTTACGGTCAAGACTGATGTCCCAAAGACCTACTTGAGGCTATTTATGGTGCCCAATGGGGCAAAAAGAAAGATCCCAGTGACTGTACTTGAACACGATCTGTTCCTTAGGTAGTACATTCTTCTGTACCTATGAAAACAGCAAGGAAAAGAAAAAGGCAGAGATTATTGCTGGTGCAGTGCACGGGCAGGTGTTGCGCAGCACACAGCGGACCACACAACACAGCCTTGCAGCTTGTGAGTTGCAAGTATGCTACACAGTCATCCCAACGAGATATGCTGTTGTAAAATATCTGGCTCTCTCGGTGTTCTGAACTGACACAAAGAGCGAGCCACGCGGGAGACATACCAGTCGTTCAAACAACATATGCCATAAGTTTAACCCCACAACCTCCTGAACTGTGTGTACCAGCCTCTCAGACGGGCCCCTGCCCCTTCAGACGGGCCGTCCGGACGTTTTCGGGGACCTAAACAGGGCACCCTCCGGAAAAGTTTTGCGGGTGTCAGGGGCACCCCAAACCCAAAAAAACGAAAAAACAGAATTTTTGGGGGCTGCATGCCCCAGGCAGGGAAAAAAAAAGAAAAGGTTGGAAATTTTAAAATTTTATGGGTTTTTTTTTTCCGTTTCAAATCAATCAATCAATCAATCAATCAATATATGATTGATTGGTTGGTTAGAAACGAAAAAAAAGAAAACCATAAAATTTAAAATTTTATGATTGATTGATTGATTAGAAACGAAAAAAAAGAAAACCATAAAATTTTAAAATCTCCAACCAATCAATCATGTGTTGATTGATTGATTGATAGGGCTCTCTCTCTCTCTCTCTCTCTCTCTCTCTCTCTCTCTCTCTCTCTCTCTCTCTCTCTCTCTCGTGTGCGCGAGAGAGAGAGACAGCGTGCATGTACGAAGGGGCCATGCCAATCTTCTCTGTATAGTTCCAGTTTTAATGGATGTCCCGCATCTCTCTCTCTCTCTCTCTCTGGTTAGAGAAAGAGAGAGTGAGAGACAGATTCTCATCTATCGATTTGATCGGATCCGATTGGTGAACCGAATCGGATCGATGTGAAATCAATCAATCAATTTTTTTTCTGTCTTTTTCACACAAAAAAAAAACAATCTTTTTTCAGGCACCCCCGCCACCCCCGGCCTTCCAACCCCGCCCTTCTGCCCCCCTATCCCCGGAAAATGGGTTGGATGGTCCCGTCCAAGACGGCTGTCCATACGTTCAACCGCCCGTCGGGATGGACCTTCCGTTAAACCCCAGTCGGGAACAACCCCTGCGGACAGGAGACGAGAATCCAATGGATAAACTGAAAAACGGCAGGCATGCTAGTAATCAGTGCAGGCATGAAACGTAGTGGTAGTTCGACACCAAGGAGCAGGACCACGAAATGGTGGGTGTACATCATCCAGCTCTCCGTGAGAAAGACCCAGACGTGGCGACAGAACATGAAGCACAATCTGTATACCTGGTTGTTTACTCGTATCAGTGAGGGCAAGCAGAGTTGATCTCTCTGAATACACATTGCACTGGCATAGCAATGATGATGCTAATCAAAACTGAACCTGTTCCAAGCATAAGAGTTCATCACAGACTGCCAGTACAGCCTTGCCGAAAAAGAAACTCATAGCCTACCAAAATTTCACAGGCTCGGCCTACCGGACCACAATGGCAGAAAACCTTTGGCACACAGCAAGGGGCCTGCAGGCCCGGGCGTACTGGTTGTTTACACCACCAGTACCTCGCCCAGCCAAAAAAACCCTTCCTCCTGAATTCATGGAGGTCCTCGACAGGGTTGGTAGAGGCCGGGTAGAGCCTCAGTAGAGGTGCGGGGGTCGCTTGTTTTGAAAATGAGAAGGAAATGCGAGGAATATGAGCGAGAGCGATAGACAGAAAACCAAGTTGCAAAATCACGAAGTAGTCCAGATAGTCATGCACCAAGCAGAGGGCACAAATGCATCAAGATACCATCCAAATAAGATCATTACAGTGATTTCGAGTGCAAATGCCGACACTCTCTGATCACACCAACACTGTATCTAATGTCGCTCCTACTGTTTGGCGCCCAGAGCGCCCAGCCTACACTACTCAGCCTATCTGTCCTATCTAAGTTAATGCGACTGGCACACATCGAAGTCGAAGACCAATGTACGTCAACACCAATGCGGACCACCAGCATACACCAGGAACGTTCTCTCTCCTCCTATGAGAATGAATCTTCCCCCTCAAAGCTGGTTGATACAGGGAAGATCAGTATGTGGACCTGGACAAGGATGGCACGCATAAACTGAGAAATAGATCAGAAAAAAAAGAACAGAAGAAAGCCACAGCCCCCATGGCATTACTCTGACAGGCGCATTACCTGCACCTCAGGAGAGATTTGCGCAGTGCCATGACTCTGACATGCACATTACCCGCACCTCGGTAGAGATTTCCGGAGTGGTATTCGCGCTGCACTGCCTTCGAATGTGCAAAATGAGGATGAATCTTCAGCCGGAACGCTGGTAGATACAATAAAGATTACAAAAGGTAAAAAAGAAACAGCTGTGAAATACCACTAGTACCTCCGCCAGTGTTGGGAGAATAGGGAAAAGTGGACGTTTTCCCAAACTTCTAAAATTTTGGAGGGCAGGGCCCGACGACGGCTGCCATTGATACATCTGACCGGCGGCCGTTGTTTGGTTTCGGCCTCCGAAAAGGTCGGAGGCCCACCCGAGGCCCACTACTTTCCCACGCAGCAAAGGTACTGCCGCCTTCACCCGATAGAACGCCTGGCACAACTTTCAGCCCAGATACGGCAATAATTACCGGGCATTCTATTCAGGTGAAGACGTAGTGGTTTAACAGGTTCATTGGAGTTATGGGACATATTCTGGTGCCTTGCACTGCCTGCTAATTTTAGTTTTTCTTCACATCTTTATCAGGGTCTTTCTTTGCCCCTTACTCTTGTTCCCAATCCACACGTGCTCTCTGTCAATTCCTCCTTATGTGGGACTCGCTTCAGGTGCACACTGATGAAAAGAGCAACTTCTATATGCATGCAGCCACATTGTTGAAACTCGTGGTCAAGCCCCACTGGTGCTATGCTGCACTGAACTGCCTTTTTTAACATAGAATTCAAAACCGCAGAGGTAGACAAAGCTGAGCCCCTCGCAGAATGGACAGTTGGCAAACCAATGCACTCCTGCACTGTAAATCTGTGCATGCATAACTTGTTCTAAGAAACAGAATAAATAACAAGCGGCCATGGTGTAGCTGCCCTGTGGCTGAACGGTACACACATGTAACTGACAATAAACAGATCGCATGTTCAAGCCCTCATCAAATCAGATTGGGATCATTGGGTACAAAAAACAAAAGGGCTAGCTGCATTAAAAGGCGAGCCACAGAGACCAAAATTGCCTCCCCCCGCCCCCCAACATACACCTGAATTAAATGGGCGAGAGAAGGTTTCACACCGTTCCGAGCTCACATCTATGTGCGCCTCTATTCTATTCCTTGTACAGAAACACCAGACAACTTATTTTGCACAAACCTATAAGACCAGGTGAAACACAGGCAGGTGACATACCTTCCCATCTCTCACAGCACCCTTTCCGCGTATTGTAAGTTTGGCACCACTTTCCTGCAAACCAAAAAGAATAAGAGAAATAGAAGGGAAAACACGAGGCCCAAACAAAAGCAGGGGTCCGTGTCTGTAAGGACAATGACGGAATGAAATGTTGTGTGACAGAAGACACACTGCTGAAAACCTCCCAGATAGGTTTCCTCAAGGATATCAAGAAACCACACTGGACAGAATGGCCTCCCAACCAGAAGATAGAGCGAACCATTGTACACAGCCCCGCCATGTGCTTCATGGTCGAAAGTGCAGATGCCCACTTCACATTTGGAGCAGAATGCCCCGCACAGTATGCAGGGATAAGCAGTAAAGGGAGGTGGTTTGGTGAAAAAGTCAGAGGCCAGGAGATTGAAGTATCTGATCCCTTTATGTATGTTCTGCCAACAACCTTTCCACATATTACTTGACTGATCTTCAGATTCTTCACAGCATCCCACAGTTGACCATTGGGTATACACACACACACAGACATGCACACACATGGAGAGTGGCATTCACAGCACCAAACAACACTTGTGTACACGCACACACACACACACACACACACACACACACACATATACCCACATGCATGGACAGTGCACATGCACGAACAGAAAAGGAGAACGCTGTGTGTGCCATAGAACGGAAAATGTCAGTCTGCCACCGCTGTTCCACACACAGGAGTCAACCTCCTCACCATCTTAACCATTCACCTTCTCCCGCTCCTTCCCATCACCATCTCCTCCCCCTGGCTTGCACTCATGCTCACCTCCTTGATCATTTCTCAACATGATCCTCCTCAAAACTTGCCTACCCACTTCCTCATCCTCCCACTCCATCTCCTCGATCTAACTGTCGTACTCTGGTTTCTCTTCATTGTCACCGTCATCCTATCAGTGCTAGTCTGTCAGCTCACAACGATGTTCCACTGGAGAAGGCAGTTTGGTCAAAAACGAAAACAGCACAGCGGCAGGCAGGAGGTGAGCAGTGGAGGGGGGGGGGGGGGGGGGGGGGGGGGGTGGTCACCAAAAGCAGGTGGGAGAGGACTACCCCAATCAATATCCATCTGCAAAGAAAGCAACATCAATATCAGCAAGGAAGTGAAAAACAGGAGACCGCAGCAGTCACGCAGCATTTGGGTGACACCAGTCCCGACAAGCACACAGGACAGACAAACATGAGCCCTACTCACCATTTCAATACGCCTCTGTGTATTTCCTCGCGGTCCAACGATCAGAGCAACCAAGTTATAGCCTGGGAACTCCTTGACCTGCATATATATCATGGACACAAAAGGCAGGACAACTCGCTGTTAGCCGGCATGTTCCAGCATAGGGGAAGCTGAATGCCCATGTTGTTGAATCCCGGCACATTTAAAAGTGTTGACAAACAACTTGTGACTTCGACCCCCGCACATTCCGATGAATACCTGAGTGAGGACGCCGCCCGGCCGGTTGGGCCCGGGGGGGGGGGGGCCGGG